TGAAGCACCCCTCCCATAAAGGCAGTCTGTTCCATTCTTTAGTCTGCAATGAATCCTGCCAACATTGCAAATTGTCTTGCCAGTAGGTTTCAGCCCCAGGTAAGTTCACTATGGATTTAGTGAGACCAAGGAATGACAATGGAACATTCTTAGGGTAAAAAGGTTATTACCCAGCTTTATTCTCCTGGCAATAGGTCAAGCACTAGAATTAAGTCTGTGTCCAACAGTCTGCAGGTCTGTAATCCTCTTTTCCTCTTTGCCTCCATCCACTGGGCACTAGGAAGAGCTCTTTATCTTGTGATTCAGTCAATAATAGTTTATTGCCTACAGGTGTGGAAGCAGTAGCCTAGCAGTAGGCCAATTACATCATCAAGTAATTTACATTCAGGTGAGGATCCTAGCCATAGGAACTTCCATTTTCCCTACACATACTAACACTAATCAAAAGAAAGCAGGAGTTCCTTTGTTAATTCCGAGCACAGCAGACTTTAAAGTGAGGAAAGCCATCAGGATGATGAAGGGCATTACATAATGATAATAGGGTCAATTCTCCAAAGAGACATGATAATCCCTCCTGTGAATATGCCTGTGGATAAAGTGAAGTTTCCTATGGCCAGGTGTCTCACCTGGCTCTAGTCAGCTAGCTCACTACACATGTGTGGGCAATACATTGTTATTGACTCTATATAAAGAGCTCCGCCCAGGGCTCTGGCCGACCCAGTGGCAGGGCTGCAGGGCTGCAAGACTGCAAGAGAGCAGAGACATGAGTCATGGCAGTGCTGAGAACAGAAACTGAGATTGCTGAGGCAGCAGAGAGGCCCAGAGGCAGAGACCAGCTTGCTGCATGCAGTCTCACTCTAAATGGATGGGATTCTAGCGACTGACCTGCCACTGTGGGAATAAAGTTGGATATAAATGCTTTCACCCCAAGAACATTCCATTGTCATTTTCTGGTTTCATTGAATCTATAGTGAACTTGCCCAGGGCTGAAAACCATTGGCAAGACAATGCCTAACAACAGACTTTCAAACTACATGAGGCAATAACTGATAGAACTGCAAGGAGAAATAGATAAAACCACTATCATTGGATAGATACTTCAACACTCCTCTCTCAGAAATGGATTGATCCAGCAAATAGATAATAAGTAAACAGGTGGACTCAATAACATCAATCAGCTGTTTATAATTCACATCAATAGATTTCTTCACCCAGCAGCAGCAGAATACACATTCTTCCCATGCTTCACCAAGAGAGACTACAATCTTGGCCATAAAACACAACTTAGCAAATAAAAAAAAAATTATACAATGCCTACTCTCAGACCACAGCAGAATTAAACTAGAAGTCAACTGCAGAAAAATAACTAGAAATCCAATAATATGCAGCGATTAAATAACACACTTCTAAGTAACACATAGGTCAAAGAAGAAATCTCATGAGGAATTTTAAAATATTTTTAACTAAATGCAAATGAGAATTTATCAAACTTTATGGATGCAAAACTAATGCTTAGATTTATAGCATCAAATACATATACTAGAAAATATCTAAAATGAGTCATTTAAGTTTTCACACTAGAAAACTAGATAAAGAAGAGAAAATTAAATCCAAAGTAAGCAGAAGAAAAGAAATAATTTTGGGCGGGAGATTGTGGGGAAAATGGAAGTTCCTATGATTAGGATCTTCACCTGAACCTAAATGACTTGATGATGTAATTGGCCTACTGCTAAGCTACTGCTTTCACACCTGCAGGCAATAAGCTATTATTAACTGAGTCACTAGATAAAGAGCCCTTCCCAGCGCTCTGGGCAGAGGCAGAGACAAAGGAGGATCACAGACCTGTAGACTGTTGGATGCAGATGTAATTCTAGTGCTCTAGTGCTGGACCTATCTCCGGGAGAACAAAGCTGGGCGAAAAAAAACCCTTTTACCTCAAGAATGTTCCATTGTCATTCCTCAGTCTCACTGAATCCATAGTGAACTTGCCCAGGGCTGAAACCCACTGGCCCTTCCCTGACACAAATTACAAATATCAGAAAGCAAAGGGAATATCACTACAGATCCCATGTGTCTTGCCAATGGGTTTCAGCCTTGGATGTGTTCACTATGGAATCAGTGAGACTGAAAAAAATGACAGTGGAACATTCTCAGGATGAAAGGGTTTACACCAAACTTTATTTCCTCAGTGTCAAGTCAATCACTAGAATCCTGTCCACTCAGAGTGAATCTGCATGCAGCAAGCAGGTCTCTGCCTCTGGGCCTCTCCTCTCACACAGCTGTGTCAGTCCCTGTCCTCCACACTGCCACCACTCCAGTCTCTGCTCTCTTACAGCCATGCAGCCCTGCAGCCCTCCAGCAGCCCAGAGCACTTGGTGGAGCTCTTTATATAGAGTCAATAACAATGTATTACCCACACCCACACGTGTGTAGTGAGTAAGCTAACCAGGGCCAGGTGAGAATCCTTGCCATGGGAACCTTCACTTTTTCCACATCATGGCAAATTAAAATGATAATAAACGATTGCTATGAGCAAATCTATGCCCACAAATTTGATATCCCACATGAAGTGAAGCAATTCCTTGAAAGGAACAATCTGCCAAACCCACATACAAAGAAATAAAATTTCAGCTTTGTAAAGATGAAAAAGGTTCTAGAGATTTGTTGCACAACAATGTGAAAATACTTAACACTCCTGATCTCTACACTTAAAAATGTATAGACAGTAAATTTAATATCATGTTCTTTACCACAATTAAAAATTAATATTAAAAAAATACTTTGCATGGCCTGAGAGAGCCCAGTTTTGCTCTGGTTTTCTTAGCAACTCTTATCAGGAAAATAATTCCATAATTATAAAACACATTTTTTCACATACACATGCCAGTATACTGGTTAACCAGGCAAACACTTTTAGATTTCCATTTAACTTAAATGACCATACTATTTTAACTCTTTATGGATTTAAAGGTATGCAGTATAACAAAAAGACACTAATCCAAACTTCTTTATTTTATACCACCTAGAATTGACATCTCTATCTCTAGTGAAGTCTGTTGCTTGTCTGCAATGATATCATTTTATATATAGCATCAATCTGCTAAAATATTAGGCAAAAGTATGGCTGGGGCCAGCTATCATTTGCTATCTCTACCCTGACCTAGATAACTAATGGCTTACCAAGTTTATAAATAGCACATAAAGGGGTATAGACAGTATATAAGAGGTTTCTCCAAGCCAAGTGGCAAAACTGGAAAAAATGTTTATTAATAAACCATAAGTACCAAGCAGTATAGGGAAGGCAAGGAAATCAGTTTGTATTTGCAGAATATAAGAAATTTGAGCAGAATTTTACAGTTAAAATGAGATTTGAAAAAACAAAGAGTGACCTCTGCAACACTACTAACAGTAGGTAGGAACAGAGAACCCATTAAATGTCTCCTTAGGTGAAGTGAATGGACTGATGAGGAAGGATACTGAGAATAATAATTATAAATGGTGAGAAAAATGCCTATGAATGGTGAAAACAATGTTCACACAAGCCTTCACTTTTTAACTCATGGAACTATTCATATCTTTTCAAAAATATTTTAACCTCAGAAAGTGTTAACAAAGAGTTAACAAAATTTAACAAAGAGTTTATTACATCTTATTTAAAAACCACAAAGGAATCATCTATCTCTAAAAATGTTTCACCAGCCTACCTTCCCTAAAAATATTACACAAGTTATATGTATCTAAGACTAATGTTAGATTATATGACATTGTGGAACTCTTCATAATATTCACAGTTGTTTTTTTTTTTAGAAAACTAAGACACCACATTTTTAGTAGAAAATATTCTGGATTGGAGAAAAATCTGTTTTTATTAACTGACCATTTAATAACTCTCATATACCCATTCTCTATTCTCTTCCAAAACTGAAGCCAACAGACACAAATGCAAACAGTTTTTATGGACCAATCACTCTGTATTCTTGAGGTATTGAGTAGTGGCTCTCTAATCCTGAGCAGAGCCTATTTTTCAGCCATATTTATACAAGGGTGGAACACAACCTCTGCTTTGGGCCAAATGCTTAAAAAGTCATTGAGCAGTTCTGTTTTCATTTTCAGGTAAGTTTTCAAAAATAAAGCTCCACTGGGGATAAAAACATACATTGACTTCCATTTCTTAGTCCTTGAGGAACTTCATTGGACATTCAATTTTCTCATGACCTTCTAAGATTTAATTTTCCTGATCTGATTAAGAAGCACTCCAGCTGACCTTCCCACAGAATTAACTGTTGACAAGAACATTTTCCTGAATGCCAGCACATAAAACAACTAAAAAATATCTAGATGCAACTACTACACCAGCAGAGGTAATTGTTAAGAAATGAGAAGTTCCTGAAAACTGATGCATTCATTTATTCACTGTTAGGGTCCGGGCTTCCGAGGCTTCTCTAGAGAACAAACTACACAGGCATAGAGATGTAAATTCAAGCAAAGTCTTTATTCAGACAGCTAGCTGGGGTCCAAGTCAGCCCGATGCAGCGGGTCTCAACAAGGACCCCGAGCACTCAAAGCCAAGGGTTTATATAGCATTTTCAAAACACTTAACTCATAGTAATTTTCCACAGCTGCACATTATTCTTGCAAGACATACATCCTGGGGTTAGGCAGGAGCAAGATAAGACCACTCCTCAATTGTCAGGGAGGTTCTGCAGGATAAGCTTGGTATGTAGGATTAGCTGACCAAGGTTAGCTGACTAAAGGCCACAGCTGCCCACCATCTGGTGTTCATGATTAGCTTGTTTTTCAAGGCCTTACCCAGTTCCAGTTTTTCTTTCTAAGTCACATACTCAGAAAATGGCTTCTAGGCCTTTAAGATGGCTATGCTTATGCTAACTGATTTCTATTCTTACATTCACTTATTCAACATGCATTTATCAAGTTCCCTATCATTCAACATTTAGGCAAACAAGTTCTATTTGTGCTGCCTGGAGGTGGATCTTCCCTACCTGGAAGAATAGGTTGTCCTTTGTTTAAAACAGGAAATTCTCGGCAGATTGCCCCATCCTCTTGATCTCGTGCCAACCAACGTTGAACTGGTATGTAAAACTTGTTTCCAGAATTCATGTTCCACAACTGTATCTACAATAACAATATTATTTATAAAAAAATGTAAGAATACTTTACCAAAAAGTCTGATTAAAGTTTTTTTTAAGTCTAACACAGCTCAGAGAAGTTGCTGGATACTTGTCAAGAAAAGTGCCTGTTTCTTCTTTTATTGCCATCTCAAGTACAACAGCATTTCTTTTCTCTCTTTTGGATTTTTTCCATTTCTAATTTCTCTATGTTGAAATGGTAAACATGCCAATTTCTTCCCCAATTTTCTGTCATCAATATTTCCCTATTTAGAAAGAGATGTTTATAGTATTAAAAAATCTATTACTTCCTTGGTCCAATCTCTTAGTAATGAATTTTTTTATTTTAAATTGATTTTATAAACTATTAACATAAGCTTAGATTTAATGCACTACAGACTCAAACTGATATAGTTCCCTCCTTGGTTCCTTAACAATAAATGAAATTTAAACAATTATTTATTTGGGTACCTTAACAAATAAAATTTAAACAATTATTTGGGTACCTATTATGCCATATTATATATAATCCATTTATTTAGGAATTAAACAAAGATGTTAGTAAATTCTGGTAGGATCAAATGAATATCAAAAATCATCAGAATTGAAATCATGCTCTCAGATTCTAAAATCTAGCCTTTCATGAGTATGGTACTATTATTCCTTTAAAAGCTTCAGGGAGATAATTTAGCCATCTGTTAAATGAATCTTATGGTCTTTAAAATGCTTTAAATCAAAGATTTTCAACTTTAATGTAGTTAAGAAACCATGGTGTTATAAACATAGATTTTCCATCCCTAAACTTACTAATTCCGTGGGTGTTCGTTAAGGCCCAGGAAATATGCATTTGTATATTCACACCAAATATGATTCTGGTGCAAACACACTTTTTAGAAAGGGTCCCCCTAAGAACCACACAGAAGTACCACTGGTTTACAACACTGCTACTGCTTACCACAACTGCTTGATTTGGTTATTTTAATTAAAGCCTCAAGGCAGATCCTTTGAAAACAACAAAATAAATCACCACTGGAAACTTTTTTTGTAATCTTCCTTAACTAAACTTGAAAGAATTAAGGTTATGAACCTAAAAGCAATGTGATTATTCTACGGACTGTGTAAATGTTGTATCATTATTACTATAATGGACTCAGTGTTTTAATTAAAATCCCTTCAAGTTGTAGCACATGTTAACTTACTTAAAAGTTTAAACTTCAAACTTCTAAACTGTACAATAAGAATTGGAAATAAAACTGCAACCCATAATCTAGCACCTTAAATTGGCCAAGTGGGCAAATTTTATGAGGGCTTTATCTACTCAGAATAAAATTTTTAATTAAGAACATCTCTTTTTTTCACTGATTCTCAAAGACAGTTGAAGTAAACTTCAGGCAAACAAGTTGTCCTGCAATAAGAGAGTACTATCCATCAACAGAAAAACAATAGGAATTCCCAGCCTGTTTTTTGTCTTTCCTCTTCAATATTATATAATCTTTTCAGATCACTTAATCAGTATCTCAGCAACCCAGCTTCATAATAAGTATAACACTGTTTACTGGCTATCAATCAAATAAGATGGCAGGAGGATTCATGATAATTTTCAAAAGTTACTTTAGCTTACTAGGAGAGAAAGAAGTAAAAGACATTATTATATATGATCACTTGAGTATCAATTTGAATATCAGACTTCAAGAGCCCTCTATAACATACAAGAGAGGATAATTTCATATAGAAGCCAGAAAATAATGTTGAATTTTGAAATCTAACATCTACATTCTGTATCTTTTTCATTCTGCTTCAGGTTCTTTTGCAAGTTTAATGCAAAGAAGATGGCATAATTAACAACTATATATTTCTGCTAATAGAATTTTTAAAATATGTTTTTAAGGAATTCTCAATTTACATGAATTTTTCAGTAATTTTCTCACATATTATTACAAAGCTGTGAAACAAGTTTTCCAATATCAGGAATGAGATGTTCTTTGCATTTTGAAAACTTCTTTAAAGATCATTTATTTTGAGGTAAAAAAAGATGGAAATATACCATACCTAAAAGTAGACTACAATCTTTATGATTTTCAGTGTTGAAGAACTCCATTTACTGGCAATCATGGTAATAAGTAAAATTTAAATTCCAGACAATGTAGAAAATTTAAACCTTTTTTGCTCTTAAAAGTACTTGGGGCATTTCTCGCTTAGCACCTCTTTTCTGTGCAGAGGTGAAAGGATTGGTTGAGATGCTGCCATTGATTAATTGTGGATTAAATTATTAATGAGGGTAAATGACACATCTGCCTTGAGAAACACACTAAAAAGTTCCAAATTTTGACACCATCAACTCACAATAGGCATGAAATACCCCTTAAGGTTTGATTCCTGGACAGAAACTGCAGAGGGTTTTGCAAAGGCTAGGAGTATTAAAATGTCTTTACCTCTTTACAGTGCCAGGAAGGGGAGAGTCCAGAGTTGGTATGACCAATACGAATCTTAAAGAGTGTTCCAATGTCTCCAACTGTGATCTATAAAGGAACCAAGAGAACATAGTTCAAATGTAATTTCACAAAATCCATTTTATAGCACCACATATTAGGATATAATTATTGATAAATGGGTCAGTCCATCAAAAAGATATAATAGACATGTATATATACCTAATGACAGAGCCAAAATATATGAAATAAAAATTGACAGAATTAGCTAGAGAAATAGTCTATAATAAATAGCAGAAGACTTCAATACCCCACTTTGAATAATGTATAGAACAACTAAACAGATCAATAAGGAAAAAGACTTGAACATTACATATCAACTAGATTAACAGATATTTATTGAACATTCCACCCAACAACAGCAAGACACAGTTTTCTCAAGTGCACATGGAACACAGGACAGATTATGTATCACAAAACAAGCCTTGATTAAGAAATCATACAGAGTACCTCTTCCAAATATGATGGAAATCAATACAAGGAAAAACCAGAAAATCCACAAATATGTATAAATCAAACAACATACTCTTAAGCAACCAATGAGTAAAAGAAATTGCAAGGGAAATTTTTAAATACCTTAAGATGAATGAAAAAATAAACATAACATACAAAAACATAAGGAATACAATGAAAGCAGAACTCAGAGGAAAAGTTTAGCTGTAATTCCATAAAATTTGAATGTACTTCAGAGAAGAAAGTCTATACAAATGGATGTCCATCAACTAAACTGATAGCCTGCTATGAGAAAAAACTACTTTGGAGATTCTGATCTAAAATCCACAGGTTCCAAAGTGAAGGAGAAGAGGCGCAGATGAAGAAAGAGGAGGGGTAGGAGAGAGTTTTTGGGAAAAGGAAGAAGAGGAAGTAGAAAAAGGAAGAAGGAAGGTCAAGAAGATAAAATAGAAAATAGAAAACAATTGAAACAATGAAACCAAAAGCTGGTTCTTCAAAAAGAACACTAAAATGGACATTTAGTTAGCCTAAGGAAAAAAGAAAACTCAAATTACTAAAGTCGGAAGTGAAAATAAGGACATAACTACTGATCTTACAGAAACATAAAGTTATAAAACTCATGAATAATTGTATGCTAACAAATTAGATAGCCTATTATGAAATGGCTAAATACTTAGAAACACACAAACTATCAAAACTGACTCAAGAAGAAGTAGAAACTGTGAATAGGCCTATAATAAATAAAGATATTGAAACAGTAATCAAAAACCTCCCAACAAAAAAAGGCCTAGGGTTTCACTGTCGAATGCCAAAACAAAGTGTTTTTCTTTAATATGTATTGAGCTCTTTTATTTTTATTAAGGTATAATTGATATACATTATATCAGTTTCATGTATAAAACACAATCATTTCATATCTGTATACATTGTGAAATGATCATCACAAAAAGTCTGGTTATCATCTGTCACCATGCAGTCACCAAATTTCTTTTTCTTGTGATGAGAACTTTTAAGATTTATACTCTTAGCAATATTTCAAACATGCAATACAATATTACTGACTATAGCCACCATGAAATGCATTATATCTCCATGACTTATTTATTTTATAACTAGAAGTTTGTACCTCTTGACCCCCTTCACCCTTTCCATCCAACACCCAACCTCCCTCCCCTAAGACAGCCACCAGTTTCTTCTCTGTATGTATTACATTGGTTTGGTTTGGTTTGGTTTTCAGATTCCACATGTAAGTGACATACATCATTTGTCTTTCTGCTCAACTTTTTTCATTTAGTGTAATTCCCTCAAGGTTCATCTATGTTTTCACAAATAGCAAGATTTCATTCTTTTTATGGCTGCCTAGTATTCCATTTTATATACATGTGTATAAACAGCACCCTTCTTTATCCATTCATCCACCGACCAATTGTCTCCACATCTTGGCTATTGTGAATAGTGCTGCAATGAACAGACATGCAAATGTCTTGTCAAATTAGTGTATTCATTTTCTTTAGATAAATGCCTGGAAGTGGAATTGCTGCATGATATGGTAGTTATATTTTCAACTTTTTGAGGAACCTCCATACTATTTTTCAGAGTGACTGCACCATTCTACACTCCCACCAACATTGCAGGATAGTTCCCTTTTCTCCACATCCTTGCCAACACTTTCTTATCTTTTCAACAATATCCATTCTAACAGATGTGAAGTGAGATCTCATTGTGGCTTGCATTTGCATTTCCCTGATGATTAGTAATGTTGAGCATCTTTTCATGTGCCTGTTGGTCATATATAGATCTTCTTTGGAAACATTTCTATTAAGGATCTTCTGCCCATTTTTAATTGGATTTTTTGGTTTTTTTATTACTGTGTTGTATGGGTTCTTTATATATTTTGGATATTAACCCCTTACTGGATATATAATTTAAATATCTTTTCCCATTCAGTAGGTTCCTTTTTTATTTTGTTTTGTTTCAATGTGCAGAAGCTTTTTAGTTTGGTATAGTCCCACTTCTTGATTTTTGCTTTTGTTGCCTTTATATTTGGAGTCAGATCCTAAAAAGTCATCTTTTTTTGTTGCTCTTGTATTTGAAGTCAGATTCAAAAACTCACCTGCCCTTTCCCCCATTTTATATTCTTGCCTCCTTTGTCTTAATTCAGCATGTATGTGTGGGTTTATTTCTGAGCTCTCTATTCTCTTCCATTGATCTATGTATGTGTCTGTTTTTATGTCAATACCTCATTATTTGGATACCAAAGCTAAGTAATACAGTTTGAAGTCTGGAAGCATGATGCTGAGCCATCCTTGCATCCCTGGAATAAATCTCACTTGATCACAGTGTATGATCCTTTTAATGTATTGGTTGGCTTGCTAGTATTTTGTTGAGGATTTTTGCCTCTCTGTTCATCAGGGAATTTGGCCTACAATTGCCTTTTTTTGTGGTGTCCTTTTCTGGTTTTTGTATTAGGCTAACACTGGCCTTATAAAATGAGTATGGCGGCATTCCATCCTCTTCAATTTTTTGGAAGATTTTGAGAAGGATAGTTTAAATCTTTAGATGCTTGGTGGAGTTCACCAGTGAAGCTATCAGGTACTGGTATGCCTTTTTTAGGGGGGTGTTGATTACTGATTCAATCTCCTTATGAGAAATTAGTCTTCAGATTTTGTATTTCTTCCTGATTCAGCCTTAGAAGACTGTATATTTTAGGAATTTATCCACTCCTCTGTTTCCCAATTTGTTGACGTGTAAGTGTTCACAACAATCTCATCTTTCTTTGTATTTCTTTGGTATCAGTTTTAACTTCTTTGCCATTTTAATTTTATTTTTTTGTGCACTCCCCCTTTTTATATTTTTTAGTGATGATAGTCAAAATTTGTCAATTTAATTCATATTTTCCAAAATTTTTTATTTGTTTTATTGATCTTTGCTATTGTCTTTTTAGTTTCCATTTCATTTATTTCTGCTCTGGTCTGTATAGTTGCCTTCCTTCCACTGACTTTGGGTTTCATTTCTTCTTCAGTTTCCTTTAGGCATAAAGTTATATTGTTTGAGACTTCTCTTGTTTCTTGACATAGGCCTGTACTACTATAAATTTCCCTTTTAGAATTCTTTGGCTGTATCCCAAAGATTTTGGTATGTTGTACTTCCATTTAATTTGTCTCAAGATATCTTTTACTTCACCTTTGGTTTGTTTGTTGACTCATAGGTTGTTCAGTAGCATGTTGTTTAATCTCCACATATTTGTGATTTTTCCCCAGCTTTCTTGTAATCAATTTCTAGTTTCATGCCATTGGTCAGAAAAGATGCCTGCTATGATTTCAAACTTCCCAAATTTACAAAGACTTGTTTTGTGGACCAACATATGATCTATCCTGCACAATTTTTCATGTGTTCTTGAGAAAAATATGTATTCTGCCATTTTTAGATGGAATGTTCTGTGTATATCTAAGTTCACCTGATCTGATACATCTTTTAAGGCCAATGTTTCCTTTTGATTTGCTATGTAGAAGATCTAGCCATTGATAGTAAGTAAGGTCCCCTGCTATTATTGTATTGCTGTTAATGTCTTCTTTTAGGACTGTTAATATTTGCTTTACATATGTAGGAGCTCCTATGTTGGGTATATAAATATTTACAAATGTTATATCTTCTTGCTGAATTGACCCCTTTATCATTATGTATGCCCATATCTGTCTTTTATTAGGGTCTATATTTTAAAGTCTGTTGGGTATATAAATATTTGCAAATGTTGTATCTTCTTGTGGAATTGACCCCTTTATCATTATGTAATGCCCATATCTGTCTTTCATTACAGTCTATATTTTAAAGTTTATTTTGTCTGAAAACCAGCTTTCTTTCTGTTTTCATTTTCATGATCCCTTCCACTTTCAGTCTGTGTGTCTTTACATCTAAAGTAAGTTTCTTGTAAATAACATATACATGGGACTTTTTTATCCCTTTAGCCACCCTATGACTTTTATTGGGTCATTTAGTCTATTTGCATTTAAAATAATTATTGGAAGGTATGTACTTACCACCATTTTTTAAATTGTTTTCTGGCTGTTTTGTAGTTCCTTTCTTTCCCTTTCTACTTCTTGGATCTCTTCCCTTGTGGTTTGATGACTTTCCTTAAAGTTATGCTTAGATTCCTTTCTCACTATCTTTTGTGTACCTACTATAGATTTTTGCTTTGTAGTTACCATGGGGTTCACATATAAGAGCATATATATGCATATACATATACATACATGACAGTGTATTTTAAGTTGATAGCAAGTTAAGCTTGAACACATGCTAAAAATACATTTTTATTTCTCTTCCAAAATTTATGTTTTTGATGTCACATTTTACATTTTTGTTTTGTTTATACCTTACTATTGCATTTATAGTTTTTTTTTAGTTTTTGTCTTTTAATCTCCACACTAGCTTTATAAGTGATTAATGTACTTCCTTTACTATAGATTCACTTTTATCATTGAAATTTTTCACTTTTAAGTTTTCTTGTTGCTAATTAGAGCCCTCTCTTTTCAGCTTAAAAAGTCCCTTTAACATTTCTCATAAGGCCAATTCAGTGG